GTCCCAGAGTTATGATGGAGCATACATACATACATACAGCCTTTTTTATATAGCTAGATCAGTTTAGCTTAGCATAAAACAGAATATGAATAGATGTAGCAAATATCACTCATTTACTGTATGCATGTTTTATGAGGAGAGATAAAGCAGTCTTTTTCTGACAGTCAGAATGGAAGAAGCTCCTTGGATGAGAAGTGAATGTTTCTATTCATGATTAATGTCAGTATTGTTTTTAATTCATTGTATGTCTATTGCTGGTCGAGGACCGTAATAAAATTTTATTCATTCAACTGCTTAAAGAGCAATTTAGTTTTCAACCTTGAGTCCTTGATGCTCTCTGAAATAGGTTATTTGTTTGCAGACTTTTCGTTACCTATCTAGGTGATAACATCATTGAAAACCTTTGAAAACCATTCATTTTCCATGGTTTCCATAGGCACAGCATATGTCATGAATGACAAGAGTTTTGCACCATCTTATCAACGATTTCAAATTTGTTGTTATGAGTAGATGTAGAAGAGGGGGGAGGGGAGAGGCTCCACATCCATTTGCACCACTCAGGTGACCCTGATGAGACAGATAAACCTCCAGGTGACCTTAACGACCCGCTAAAAGAATGCAAATGACCAGTTTTCTGCAAGGAGTATAAATCCTTCCATTCCCCACCATCCAGTCAGAGCTGAAGAAGCTTCTTGGATGAGAAGTGAAACGTCTTCAAAGAAAACCAGAAAGTCCAGTTGCCTCTTGAAAAAAATCACCTTTGGGATGTCCATTATCTGCTCTGAACAATGTCTCAAGTTTCTTTTTCTATTTTCTTTACTAAAGGAAAATATAGGTAGTCCTTAACTTGCAACCATTTCTTTTTTGACCATTCAAAATTACAACAACACTGAAAAAAAATGACCTACTACAACTGATCCCTGCATTTACAACCATGGTGGCATTCCCACAGTCATGTGATAGAACTTTAGTTGCTTGGCAACTGACATGTATTTGTAACAGTTGCAGAATCCCAGAGCATTCCATTTCACCAGTTGTGACTGTAGAAAGAATCACAAGACACCCCCTTCTCTTTGTTTCCATGCCCCTAGAGAAGGCAAAGAAAAACCAAGCATAGAAGGTAAAGCAATCCCTGCCTTCCAGCCAGAATGGCCTCAAGTAATCCCAATTAGAAGACTGAGACAGACGGAATTGACAGGATTAAGGATTATGTCAGATGACACAAAGCCATACAGAGTTTATATTCCCCACCTTTCCCCAAGGCTAGCCTTGACCAGTGGTGAAATCCAATTTTTTTTTACTCCTGGTTCTAGGGGCATGGCTTGGTGGGAGTGGTGTGGCTTGGTGGGCATGGCTTGGTGGGTGTGGCAAGGGAAGGATACTGCAAAATCTCCATTCCCACCCCACTCTGGGTCCAGTCAGAGGTGGTATTTGCCAGTTCTCCAAACTACTCAAAATTTCCGCTACCGGTTCTCTGTACTGCTCAAAATTTCCGCTACCGGTTCTCCAGAACCTGTCAGAACCTGCTGGTTTTCACCCCTGACTTTGACCCTGATCACCATCCAGGAAACGAGACTTGCAAGTATTGAGTACAGTTCAATGTATTTGATATCATCGCCTACGCTTCCCTCCCTCTTTTTCAATATATATTTTGATATGGTCAAAAAATTGATCTAAGAACCCCCTATTGTAAAAGGAATGTATTTATTGACTTCTTTGGAAAATGGTTGTAAATGCAATAGCACGAGAACTCCTTTTGGAATGGCAAACATAATAAATCTTAATAACAATAATAATCCTCCATAAATCTTCCTTTCACAGAAATTAAAACTATATGTTTACAGGAGATAGCAGACAGTCTTTCAATTGTCAGCAAATTTTCTTTTTTTAAAAAAAATTATAAACTTTATTAAAACACATATAAAACACATATAAAAAATATTTACAAAACATACAGCATATAAGTAAATTTTCCTCTTAAAGCAATATTGCGTAGTGGTTCCTCAATTAATACAGTTGTAATTTTCCCCTAATTTTAGCCTAGTAGTTTTTCCTTTCCCTTTTCCTCCCCCTCCTTTTCTTTTTCCCTTTCCCTTAAGATTCCTTAGCAATCTTTATATTTGGATTATACTTTTGTTTTGAAATTCCCCTATTCATGTTTACTTGTCCATAGGAAATTATTAGTATATCTATTTACATCTTTTTTCTATTCTTCTTGCACCTATGTATCTTTATTAGCGGCGTTGTACCATAGGTACCATTTGTCCCATATTCTGTAGTACTCTGTCTCTTCTTTTTCCTTCATCTCTTTTGTTAGTCTATCCATTTCAGCACTCTGTGCGATTTTATCTGTTAACTCTTCTTCCGTTGGGATTTTTTCTTGTTTCCAATTCCTTGCGTACATTATTCGAGCTGCCGTTAGAATATGTATTATCAGGTATTTTATATCTTTACGATATATTTTTGTGAAGATTCCTAGAAGGAAAGTTTCTGGTTTCATCTCTATTTGTAATTTTGTTATTTGTTCCAACCATTTCTTAATGTTAGACCAAAACTTCTTTGCTGCCGGGCACGTCCACCATAGATGGTAAAAGGTACCCTGCGATTTTTTGCATTTCCAGCATAATGAACTGTTCTTTGAATGAATTTTTACCAATCTTGTGGGTGACATATGCCACCTATAAAACATCTTCAGCTGGTTCCCCTTGTATGCCACCGCTAATGTTAATTTTGTATTCATTTGCCATAATTCCTCCCACTTCTCCAAATCTATTGTATATTTAAAATTTTGCATCCATTTAATCATCGTATCCTTTACTGTTTCCTCCTCCATCTTATATCGCAATAGAACATTATAGATTTTACTAATTAATTTCTCTTGTGAGTCTAATATAATTTTATCTAGTTCTTGTTTCTCTCTGTAGATTTCATATGTTTTTATATGTTCCTTGTATTTGGATTGGATCTGTGTAAAAGTCCACCAGTCGACTTCTCTATTTAGCTCTATTTCCAATTGTTATTTGGTTTTCAGCTTCCCTTGAAGTCAATTAAGTCTTTGTATCTAATTATATTTTGGGTTCTGTTAAGTTTGGGTGTCTTACCGCTTCTAATGGTGATAGCCAATTCGGAATTTTTGTGTAGTGTTGTTTTTGAATTTTTAGCCAAATTAGTAGTAGTGTATTCCTAATTGTGTGTCTTTTAAAATAGGTATGTGTTTTATATCTTTCATCCCATAAAAAGGAGTGCCAGCCCATTTGCAGTTCGTGGCCTTCAATTGTTAATATCCTAATTGTCAGCAAATTTTCATAGTGAGAAAACTCACATGATGTACTAAGTCCTCTTTATTAGTTGCTCTCTCTGGTTTAGTTCAGGCTTAAAAACAATGATGTAGCATTTTGGCAAAAATATGCATCCCAGTAATGCAGCGCTGGAGGCCAAGATGGAGAAGACCTCCACAGCTACCATGGCTTTGCCTTTTGTGCTCAGATAGGCTGGAAAGAAGGAGATCCAGACACTGCAAAAGGCCAACATGCTGAAGGTGATGAACTTGGCTTCATTAAAGCTGTCAGGTAATTTACGGGCAAGAAAAGCCACAATAAAGCTGCCGATGGCCAAGACACCCATGTAGCCCAAGACACAGTAGAAGAAGAAACCTGACCCCTCATTGCATTGTAAAATCATTTCATGGAGCTCTACATGTCCAATTCAGGGAATGGGGGAGATGTTGACAACCAGAGAATACAAATCCATCCTTGAATGATGGAGCATGAAAGGACAATAGAAAAAGCCAATCTTTTCCCCACCCATTTCCTCATCTGAGATCCTGGTTTAGTGGCCATGAAAGCCACAACCACAGTGATGGTTTTGGCCAGGACACTTCTGACTGTATGACTCTAACCTTGTTGCTGGTATCCTTAAGATTTATATTGACTGTTTCCTAATATGATTTGATTGCTTATTTGTTCCCTATGACTATAATTAAGTGTTGTACCTTATGATTCTTGACAAATGTATCTTTTCTTTTATGTACACCGAGAACGTATGCACCAACACAAATTCCTTGTGTGTCCAATCACACTTGCCCAATAAAAATTCTATTCTATTCTAATTCTCCATTCCATTCCATTCTATTCTATTCTATTCTATTCTATTTATTATTCTATTCTATTCTATTCTATTTTATTCTATCTGCTAATGTTCATTACAAAAGAAGATAATTTTCTCTCTTACTGCTCCCCCGAAAGTTACCTGTGGAATCTTGAAGAGATTTACACTTTCTGCCATAAAGGAAGAAGTAGGGGCATCTAACCCTCCAATGATGGCCATGAGATTCTTCTGGTTATCACATTTGTAGTTAGGGACAAATTCCTGGGATCTGAAAAGGAGGTCCAGAGTGGTGCGGTAAGTCATCCTTGGGTTGTAGTAACTGTCAGAGATGTGGAACCCAAGAGTGACGTTAGGTAAGATCTGGGAGTCTTCATTGATCTCCTTCACAGCAAAGGCCAAGGCGAGGGCATGCTGGTAGAATTTGGTGACTATACTGCCAATAAGTTAAAAAAAACTTATTGTTTTTTTTTTTTAAAAAAAAAAAAACTTAAAAAATTTTTAGTAAAAAAAATTGAATTCCACCACTGGTTCCTATACTGGACATTTTAATTTCTACTTCTGCTGTGAGCTCTGCAAAAGCATCAGGAAAATCATCTGGCCAGTAAATGCTCAGCTCTATTATGTCGCCTTGATTCCACCCCGATGCAAGAGATTACAGGGTTGTGAAAAAGAAAAAAAGGAGATACCAGAATAGAAGAAAAGGAACTGGAGAAGACAGCAAAATACAAAGACATGCAAATAGAAACGGAATGTCTGTGACAAAAGAAAGCAAAGGTAACAACAACAATAACAACAACAACAACAACAACAATAATAATACGTGCTTTGGGTGCAAGCTCAAAACATCTGAAGATTCACTTAAACACCATCGGCATTGACAAATTCACCACTAGTCAATTGCAAAAGACAATTTTATTCAGAAAAGCTTACACCCTGCAATGATGCATTTAAATACCACCAAACATCCACATCTGCCATTGGGAAGGATTTGATATGGGGAACAAATTGCCAAAGCCAGTTTGAACATCTAACCATGTGACAAACCATGGTAAAAATAATCCCCCATAAATCCTTCTTTGGCAAAAAATCAAACTACATGGTTCCTGCAGACAGCAAATGGTCCTTGTCAGCATTTTTTCTTAGCAAGAGAGATCATATGGGGTCCTATTTTGTCTTTGTGAGTTGCTCCCTGTGGTTAAACCGACATATATCCCCTTAGGCCAAAATCAAAACTACATGGTTTCTGTAAATAGCAAATGGTCCTTTTATTTTTTTTGTTATCAGCATTTTTTACTAGGAAGAAAGACAACATTGGGTACTATTTTCTCTTTATGAGTTGCTCCCGGTGGTTGAGTTTAGGCCGCAAAACAATGATGTAGCATTTTGGCAAGAATATGCATCCCAGTAATGCAGCACTGGAGGCCAAGATGGAGAAGACCTCCACAGCTACCATGGCTTTTCCCTTTGTGCTCAGATAGGCTGGAAAGAAGGAGATCCACACACTGCAGAAGGCCAACATGCTGAAGGTGATGAACTTGGCTTCATTAAAGCTGTCAGGTAATTTACGGGCAAGAAAAGCTACAATAAAGCTGGCGATGGCCAAGATACCCATGTAGCCCAAGACACAGTAGAAGAAGAAAGCTGACCCCTCATTGCACTGTAAAATCATTTCTTGGAGCTCTGAGTGCATGTCCAACTCAGGGAATGGGGGAGATGTTGACAACCAAAGTATACAAACACATACTTGGAAGAGGGAGCAGAAAAGGACAATAGAAAAGGCCAATTTTTTTCCCACCCATTTTCTCATCTGAGATCCTGGTTTAGTGGCCATGAAAGCCACAACCACAGTGATGGTTTTGGCCAGTACACTAGAAATGGCCACTGAGAAGGTGATGCCAAAAGTTGATTGTCTGAGAAGGCAGGTCACTTTGCAAGGTTGGCTGAGGAAGAGCAAAGAGGAGAGAAAACAGATTTGAAGAGAGACAAGCAGGGTGTAGGTGAGGGACTGGTTGTTGGCTTTCACAATGGGAGTATCCCTGTGCTTAATACAAATTCCAAGTACCCAAGATGTTAACAAGAAAAAACAAAGAGCTGCTGAGGCTAAGCCAATTCCTAAGCTTTCTGGAAAAGCTAAAAAGACCAGCAGTTTCAGGATACAGCCTTTCTTTTCTTTATTTGGATAATGATCTTGAGAACATTCAAAACAGTCATCCATATCTGGAAGAAAAGATAAGAATTTGTCAGATAAAGAAGTTTTTGAATTGAATGACTGCCCAGGAATTCAAGCGATAAGTACATGTTGGGTTTTCTGGTAAGACTAATGCTCTTTGCTCTTCTCTATTTCCAACACAGTTCCCCCCACCCCACTAATTCTCAAGCTACTGTACAAATTATTTGAAGATCTCCCACTCAAATATTTATTAGGTCAGACATTATTTATCTGGGCTTACAATGATTAGACATTGATCACAAGTTATCAAGATGACATCATAACAGTGGTGGGTTTCACATTATGTTACTACCAGTTCGCCCTGCGCTCCTGCCTTTCGCCATGTTGTTTGCTCACATGTACACCTTCCATTCATGTGCCCAGGCTCAAAAACTCACCTAAATAGGATGGCATAGAGCTGGGGTGGGCACGTGGGTGGGCAGGTGGGTGGGCCCAACCGTGATTTCAGCTACAGGTTCGGGCAAACCAGTTCAAACCAGCTGAATACCACCTCTGCATCGTAATATAGGCAATACCAGGAAAGAAGGCTTTTAAAAATGCTAAATATATTCTTACAATTTTTTCTTCACTTTTTAACTGAGTGAAGAATCTTAAGGGAAAGAACAGCAAATGGAAATGAAGTTGAAAATGTGAATAATAAATAGATAAGAGATCATATGATCATAGACTGCCTGCAATTACTGCAAGTTCGAATCTCACCAGGCTCAAGGTTGACTCAGCCTTCCATCCTTTCTATGGTAGGTAAAATGAGGACCCAGATTGTGGGGGCAATAAGCTGACTTTGTAGAAACACCGCTTATGGGGGGCCAAAAGCCCTACTAAGCAGGTATATACAAAAGTATGAAGGCTATTGCTTAACGCATTGTAAGCCGCCCTGAGTCGCCGGAGAAGGGCGGCATATAAATTGAATCAATCAATCAATAAATAAATCAATAAATCAATCAAAAAATAAACAAACAATCTAAGACTCAGTGGATATATATTTTGGGGCTCTATTAGGAAAGCCTACTCATTAGAATCTGATACACAAACCTTTGACCCCTGAACAACGGACAATAATCCACAGGTGCAGAAATGTATATTCAGCGTGAAGAACATGTCAAAACATTAATTATATGCATCCAAACATCGTGCATTACAATTTGCTTAAATCCAACTTTTTTTAAAAAAGTTGATGGATTGTCTCACTTACCCTTTTGATTTGAAATCTTCCCTTCTGGACATGGCACACAGTTGTAGCAACAGAACTGTCTTCCTTCCATTCCTTTCTTCCAGTATCCGGGGGAGCAACCATCATTACACAGAGAAATTGGAAGTACCTGGTCATAAACATGAAAGGTTTTGCAAAGGGAGATTTTTAGAAGAGTTCCTAATTCTTCATTATGGCAGGAAGCAATATTTGACTTCCCAAAGGGCTATTGAATTTTATTAAACTTGATTTATAAAGGTAAACAGATTCAACATCTTTTCAATTAATAATTGCAACACAAATATGAAATGTGTTCTCATTGTAATATCACTTTTGTATATATGGAGAGTAATGCCTTTCTTCTTTCAAAAAAACAGAAATTACATTTATAAATTACATAGATTTATACAGAGACTATGTTCAATATGGCTTTACGGACAAAGGCATCTTCATGATATAATAATGGATCACAATATAATCCATTGAATGTATCCATACCTGGTTAAAAGCTGGGTGCCAGACAATCACATCTTCATCAATAAATAATTCTTTCCCTTTTGGAGCACTGGGATCTATCCTTCCAACTCTAACTCTCTGAAAGGATCTGTTTGGAAAAGTGATCATGTTGGTGATGTCGAACCCACCTGTTGTTTCCCCTTTCTCATTGAGGAACACTCTCTCCCCAGCTGAATTGTTAAAAGAAATGCCTTGAAGAAATGAATGGAGCTACTTCAAAGAGAATAAAAGAGAGAAGGAATTGGAAGGAGCTAATAATAATATTCAAATTTTATTTCCACATTCTTCCCATTCCTGCGATAATGCTCAAATAGCTACATGGAGAAAATTGATCATCTATATTGCATGGAACTGTATAGATCTTCTCTATAAATGATTTTAAGGAAATATGGGGGGGGGGAATCATTCAATAAAAGCAAAATGAAAACAATCTATTTTGAATATGATATGGACTCTCTATTTAAACAATGAATCAAGCCTACACCATCCATAATCTTATTTTATCTATCATCTATCTATCTATCTATCTATCTATCTATCTATCTATCTATCTATCTATCAATCATCTGTCTGTCTGTCTGTCTGTCTGTCTGTCTGTCCGTCCATCCATCCTCTATCTATCTATCTATCTATCTATCTATCTATCTATCTATCTATCTATCTATCTCAATCTAGTTTGGTCTGATCTTTCTTCTGAATAGAGCTAGAAGGGACCTTGGAGGTCTTCTAGTACCAGCCCTCTGCTAAAGTAGAAGATCTATACCATTGCAGACAAGTGACTGTCCAGTCCCTTCTTAGAAACCTCCAGTGATGGAGCACCCATGATTTCTAGTGGCAAGCTGTTCCACTAGTTAATTCTTCTAGCTGTTAGGAAGTTTCTCCTTAAGTCCAGGTTGCTTATCCAGATCTGATCTAAGCTTATCTAGATTAATATTTTCCGATACAAAAATAAGATGTTAATTAACAATTGTTAATTGTTATGGAGAATGTCTTTCAAAATATAGATTTTTGTTTAAACCAGAACTAAAATTAAGACTTCAACTAAATTTAAGTAAGATGCATAACATATGTATAGCTTGTAGGCATCACCTGCCAAGGCTGCAGAGCTTGAAATTCAAACCTTTGACTTTCTCTGTGTGGGGCTTTTGATCTCACTGCCTCATGCAAAGAATGTGCCACGGCATAAACAGCATTGTAGATACTGTAGCTCTGGCCAGTCATCTGCAACTCAAACAGAGCACCAGGCAGATTCCCCAAATTCTCTTCTCCGCTACAAGTTTCATCGATCATTGAGGGTGATTCTTCATTTGAAAGTGAACAGTCAAACAATTGCTCCCAAACATCTTGAAGAAATCCATCTTTGTGGGTTGAAGGTTTGATGACTTGAAGAAATTCTTTAAAGCCTTGAATGTCTCTTGAATGAACAGTAAAGGAAAGAGCTCCATGGAACATCTGGAGATCCCAGCTCCTTTGAAATCCTGTCAGTGTGAAATCAATTGGGAACATCAAGATCCATACCTTCCTAAATGACGCACTCTCTTTGTTTTCAGGATCACGTAAAAACACAACATTTCTGAGCCACAGAATTGTGAATGGTTCACCATAGACAAGAAAAACATTGGCTTTCTGATCTATCAGTAAATTAAAAATAGTCAACATTAGATCAAAAAATTCTGATAGATCTTCAAGTGGGGCTTGCTGTGGAATCTTTTGTGTGAAGGCTAAACAGATCCCATTTTGGGAAAGCAACGGATTCAATTTCTGCAAGAAATGTTCTCCCTTATTCTTATCGAATGTAAAGACTCCAATCCACATCCATCCAAAATGGAGAAGAAGATGTATAATTCCACTGTATTGATGCTCCTCTTTTGGGACCAAGTAATAAAGTGAAGAGAACTTAGTAGCCTGGAGCTCTTCTTGGGCAAAGGATCCATAGGTCAGCTGAACAAAGAAAGAGAGTCAATATTCATAATGATGGAGGGAAAAAATTAGAGGATGATCTCTAATGTTCATTACAAAAGAAGACCAATTTATCTTTTACTGCTCTCCCCAAATTACCTGCGGAATTTTGAAGAGATTTATACTTTCTGCCATACAGGAAGAAGTAGAAGCATCTAATCCCCCAATAATGGCCATGAGATTCTTCTGCCTATCACATTTGTAGTTAGCAAAAAATCCCTTAGATTTGAAAAGCAGGTCCAGAGTGGTGCGGTAGGTCATCCTTGGGTTGTAGTAACTGTCATGGATGTGGAACCCAAGAGTGACATTAGGTAAGATCTGGGAGTCTTCATTGATCTCCTTCACAGCAAAGGCCACGGCGAGGGCATGCTGGTAGAATTTGGTGACTATACTGCCAATAAGTTAAAAAAACCTTATTGATTAAGAAATTTAAACATTGTTATAGTTTGGCATCATTTCTAAATGAATAAGAAACATTTCTGTCTCTGACGGAAGTACGACGATGAGAATTGCACATAATAAAATACTGGAGTAATTTATAGTGTTTCCATGTATTTCCATGCCTTACAATAAATAAGCACTACAGCAAATTGAATAGTCAGCTTTTTTACATGCTACTACTTTTATTTTCTTTCAGTTTAGCACAAACAGAATATGAACACATTCAGCAAATATCATGCATTTACTGCTAGCATATTTTGTGAGGAGTCATAATGGAGATCTTTAAAAAAAAGTTCAGCTCATTGAATTTTCTTTAAAAAAACTTATTTTGGCAAACATTTAATGTGTGAATGAAAAAGACTTTAAGACTTGAAAGCATTTTCACGAAAAATATATTAACTTAAAGAAAACATTTGTTTTCTTATAACCAGATATACTCAAAAGACAAAGGAAGATACAAAATCTGCATTATGGTCATAAAAACCTTTAATCTTATAAGAAATATTGGGGAGTTCAGTAAAATTGGGGAATCCATCTGAAGGAAAAAAATATTACATTGGCAAGGGATAAAGTTGTAGAGAATGATGGTCCTTTAATTCAATTTCATAAAATGTGTAGAAAATGTGAGACACCATCCCACCGATGAGGAGGTCACCAGGCTGGAACCACTCATGTGGAACAGGGAAAGCTTCACTTGCAGGGCATCTTAGAGTAGCTACTCTGTGCATGGAGAACATCAAAAGGAACAACATCTTCATTCTATTGTGATGGAGAAAATGTCTGGGTCTGTCATTCAAAGAGAAGTTCTGGCAGATAAAACAGGAAGAATGAATCTCACAAAGTCAGCATTATCCTTTACTGCCTCCATGCAGCTCCCATGATATTTATGAGGACTATTTTTCAATTCCTATTTCCTTCTGCACAGAACATTTGCTATTTCAGTCAAAGAGAAGTTCTGGCAGATAAAACAGGAGGAAGATAATCTGTGCAAATAAACCTACGAAGCAATCCCTTTGTGCTCTCATGTGGCTCTAAAAGTAATTATATGGGTTGTTTCTCCATTCCTATTCCCTTCTGCTGAGAACCTTTGATGGTTTTGGCCTACTGGGATAACCAACTGATTTCAGCTATTTGTAAGGCATATAATTTACCTTTGAAACATTGGCAAGCTGGCCTTTTTTTTCTTTGCATAGCTGACCAACATCTTTCTCTCTTTTGTTGGGTCACCTAATTGACTGATTTGCTTTGAAAATACTTGAAGAAGTAGAATTGGGAAGATATTTTGGAGATATTCTTTTTCACTTTTCTATAGTTCTTCAAATACATTCAGTAAAAAGTTATACATTCTTTTCTTTGATGTTTTAATTCCTACTTCTGCAAGCTTTAATTTTTACTAATATTTATTCACTTTTGCTCATGATATGATACAGTATATTACAGAATAACCTGGCAAAAATAAACTAGGCAGGATTCACCCTGCCTTCTTACTTCCTGTCTCCAACAAGGCAGCAGGGCCTCCCTAATCTTCAACTTCCTCTTTAGCAGGATATAGTCATCCGTTTCAACATAATTACTTCACTTGTTTTAAATCACCTTACAAATCCTCATCTTGTTGTCCTTCTGAATTCTTTTATTTAAAATACCTAGCTATAGCTAGGCCATCATCCTTCCAGAGACGCTTTTTCAAGAGGTAATTTGACTTTCTGGTTTTCTTTGAAGATGTTTCACTTCTCATCCCAAAAGCTTCTTCAACTCTGGGTGGATGGTAGGGAATGGAAGGAGTCCAAAAAAGCACAATTCTTTTATATATAGATAGATAGATAGATAGATAGATAGATAGATAGATAGATAGATAGATATAGATATAGATAGATATAGATAGATATAGATAGATATAGATATAGATATATAGATATCTATATATCTATATATATCTATATATCTATATATATCTATATATCTATATATATATATATATATATCTATATCTATATATCTATATATCTATATATCTATATATATCTATATCTATCTATCTATCTATCTATCTATCTATCTATCTATCTATCTATATAAAGGATATTCAGATTCTGATTATGTCACATGTTTCCCCCCCAAAAATGACAAACCTAATTTTGTGTGTGTGCGAGAGAGAGAGATGCAGAGACAGAGACACACACAGAGAGAGAGAGGCAGAGAGAGAGAGAGAGAGAGAGGCAGAGACAGAGAGACAGAGAATGTATTATGCACGTGGATGTTTATGTAGACTATAAATTAATCTCCTAACCAAGAAAGCTTAATTTATGAAGTCTTGCTATTTTGCCATGTTGAAAAGGAGAATGGATTAAGTTATAGAATCATTGAAAAATAATTGAAAATGCAGCAGTATGTGCCTTTATTTTGAAAAGAATAACAGAGTTAGAAGGGACTTTGGAGGTATTCTAGTCCAACCCCCTGCTTAAGCAGCAAACCGTACACCACTTCAGACAACTCTGACACTTTCTCCCTTTTGTCCCACATGATGATGTTCAGTAAATATTATATTTCAGTATGATCTTGCAAAATGAGGATTGATTTAAATCAGAATGAGAATCAATGTTAGTATAGTTTGACTTTGTTCATCAATGATGAAGGTTGTTGTTTTTTTGACTTTTAATCTAGAGATGGAACATTGTTTTGAATGTCCTGAAGATCAGTATCCAAGCAAGGAGCAAGATCATTGCATTGCCAAAAAAATAAGTTTCCTATCCTATGAAGAACCTTTAGGAATCATTTTGGCATCAGTTGCTGCTTTGTTTTGCTTGTTAACAGTCTGGATACTTGGAACTTTCATTAAGTACAAGGATACTCCCATAGTTAAAGCCAATAACCGAGACCTCACTTACACCCTCCTTGTGTCTCTTTTGCTCTGCTTTCTCTCTTCCGTATTATTTCTTTGCCAACCTAGGAAAGTAATTTGCCTTCTCCGGCAACCAACTTTTGGCATCATCTTCTCAGTGTCTATTTCTTGTGTCTTGGCCAAAACCATCACTGTGGTCATGGCTTTCATGGCCAACAAGCCGGGAACCAAGATGAGGAAATGGGTAGGAAAAAGATTGGCCATTGCCATTGTTTTTTCATGCTCTTTTTTCCAAGTCAACATTTGTATTGTGTGGCTGGCAACCTCTTATCCATTCTTTGAGTTAGACAAGCACTCTGTTAGAGAAACCATAATTTTGCAATGCAACGAAGGCTCCATCCTTATGTTCTATTGTGTCCTGGGCTACCTCGGTTTCTTGGCTACTGCAAGTTTCATTGTGGCGTTCCTTGCCCGTAATTTACCTGACAGCTTTAATGAAGCCAAATTTATTACTTTTAGTATGTTGGCTTTTTGCAGTGTCTGGGTCTCCTTTGTGCCAACCTTCCTGAGCACTACAGGGAAAGCCATGGTAGCTGTGGAGGTCTTCTCCATCTTGTCCTCCAGTGGGGCCTTACTTGGATGTATCTTCTTCCCAAAATGTTTCATCATTTTGCTGAGGCAGGAACTGAACAACAAGGATCAATTAATAAAAAGAAATTAAATAATGAAAATATCACATTTCATTCCAATTATATTGTCAAGTTCAAATGAAGAGTATGAGTATCCAAATAATATATGCAGAATTATTTAAGTTTAATCAAACTTTAAATAAAAGCAGTTAAATATGATTCTTAATGTACAGGATTGTTCATTCTTCTGTTCCCAAGAAGCAGATGTTATTTTAATTAAATTTATTTAAATACCTGATCTGAAGATAAATCGATGTATAAATTTTATTGAAATCAATCCACGTTTAATTTTTACCTGTTATTTGGAATCCAATCTCCAGCATTGAGCTGCGGAGGTGCAGTGCTTAGAATGCAGTACTGCGGGCTACTTCTGCTGACTGTCGGCTGCCTGCAATTTGGCAATTCGAATCTCATCAGGCTCAAGATTGACTCAGCCTTCCATCCTTCTGGGGTCAGTAAAATGAGGACCCAGTTTGTTGGGGGCAATATGCTGACTGTGTAAACTGCTTAGATAGGGCTGTGAAGCACTGTGAAGTGGTATATAAGTCTAAGTGAGATTGCTATTGCTGTTAGGCTAAGAGCCAAAGCTATAAAACAGCACAGAATTTTGAATATTTCAATATTCCCGATTCTCATTTTTCCAATAATACCGTTAAATATGTACAAGGAAGATGTTAAGAGTGAAAAGATAAGTATAGGATCCGTCCAGCCTGCAAAAAGTGAATAATAAAAAGTTAACACTTTATCAAAAAGTGCCTGACCACTCAGTCCAATACAGAATAACATTGCCGTTCTTCAAAAATATCTCAGAAACCACCAACAGACTACTGCAACCAAATGGAATGAGTGTAGCACACAAGCCAATTTATTGTTGTTGTTGTTGTTAGTCGTGAAGTCGTATCCGACCCATCACGATCCCATGGACAATGTTCCTCCTGGCCTTCCTGTCCTCTATCATCCCTCGGAGTCCATTTAATCTCACGCCGACTGCTTCAGTGACTTCATCCAACCACCTCATTCTCTGTCGTCCTCTTCTTCTTTTGCCCTCAATCATTCCCAGCATTAGGCTCTTCTCCAGTGAGTCCTTCTTTCTCATTAGGTGGCCAAAGTATTAAAGCCCTTCAAAACATCCCAAGCAAACCAAAAGACCTTGCAACTACAATGGGCCACACAGTTTAGGGATTGCAACTATTGTATAGTCAGACCATGTATAATTGACACTGGGTTTTATTATAGATTTTAGTTGTTATTTATTATTTTATACTAGAATTTTAAAGTGTATATATACTGAGTTCTGGTCTCTGGTCTAAGACTGTAATTATAAATTGTTGTTGTTGAATCCATTTTTTCCTTATTAAATTTAATATGGTATTTTTATGTTTTTTACTAATACACCAGTGGTGGGTTGCCCCCAGTTTGAACCGGTTCACAAGAACTGGTAGTAGAACTGGTGGGAGGTCCCGCCCCCCCGCCCCGGATGTCATCATCAGTGATCTGCGCATGCGCAGATTCCATTGCGAACCGGTAGTAAAGGTAAGTAGAACCCACCCCTCTAGTACACCACCTGCAATCCCTCAGTGAGTGAGATGGGTGGTCTCAGAAATTTGGTAAATAAATAAATTTTACTGCTGACTTTATTAATCAAGATCACGTGAAGTGTTAATACCACTTTATAATGCCTTGGTAAGGCCACACTTGGAATACTGCATCCAGTTTTGATCGCCACGAGGTAAAAAAGATGTTGAGACTCTAGAAAGAGTGCAGAGAAGAGCAACAAAGATGATTAGGGGCAGGGGTGACAGGTTCTGGAGAACCGGTAGCAGAAATTTTGAGCAGTTCAGAGAACTGGTAGCAGAAATTTTGAGTAGTTTGGAGAATCGGCAAATACCATCTGTGGCTGGCTCCAGACGGGTGGGAATGGAGATTTTGCAGTATCCTTCCGCTGACAAACCCACCAAGCCATGCCCACCAAGCCACACCACATCCACCAAGCCATGCCCACAGAACCAGTAGTAAAAAAAAATGGATTTCACCACTGATTAGGGGACTGGATGCTAAAACATGAAGAACAGTTACAGGAACTGGGTATGTCTAGTTTAATAAAAAGAATGACTAGGGAAGACATGATAACAGTGTTCCAACATCTCAGGAGCTGCCACAAAGCTCGTGAGGGTAAGACAAGAAGCAATTGGTGGAAACTAATCAAGGAGAGAAGCAACTTAGAACTAAGGAGAAATTTCCTGACAGTTAGAACCATTAATCAGTGGAACAACTTGCCTCCAGAAGTTGTGAATGCTCCAACATTGGAAGTTTTTAAGAAGATGTTGGATAACCGTTTGTTTGAAGTGGTGTAGGGTTTCCTGCCTAAGCAGGGGGTTGGACTAGAAGACCTCCAAGGTCCCTTCCAACTCTGTTATTCTATTCTATTCTATTATTTCATTTATAAATTAGTGAAAAAAAAGTTGCAAGATTTCAAAAATAAATTCAGGATTTTGACTACTGCAACAAAGATATTTGAGGGACCTTGATGTTCCTTACAAATGTTTGCACACAGCTGTTTACAAGGTAAAAGCTTCACATGTCCTCTTCGAAGACATTAGAAGACACTGCAGAAAGTAAATTGGGGAATAAGAAACAATAAGGCATTTTCTTTTAGTCACGTTTTTATTAAAAATTTGAACTGATAGAGTGGAAATAGAATAGCTGTCAATTCGCATCCTTGGCCTGCCCTTGAGTTGCCATAGGCCACGGGCAGTGGTGGGTTCCTCCCGGTTCGGTCTGGTTCGGCCAAGCCAGTAGTGGTGACGATATGACATCACCGAACCGGTTCTCCCCCCCTCCCTCCCCCCCACCCCCAACGTTATTCTTACCTTTTATTTGGCCCCACCCCCAATCTATTGCTGCCTCCTGAGTCCTAGCTGATGACTAGAGGGAAAAAAACTGTTTAAACTCTTGCCGCGGGGCTTCAAAGGGCCGTCCTACAGCTGATCAGTGTTAAAAGCAAACAAATGAGTCGGGTCGTAAGTGCGAGGACTGGTCGTAAGTGCGAGGACCTTCCAGAAATGACTCTGACCTCCAAGCCACACCCACAAAATAAGCCACGCCCACAGAACCGGTAGTAAAAAAATTTAGAACCCACCCCTGGCCAGGGAGGATGGGAAATGGCATGGCAGCTAATTATTTGAATCCCACCACTGAAAACATCTTCAAAGAAAAACCAGAAAGTCCAGTCCAGTTGCCTCTTGAACAAACACCTTTGGGATGACCTTCATTACACTGTTGAATCACTTCTTCAGTAACTGAGAATAAATCTAATTTAGGAAATGGATGAAATGGAGTAGAACTACATAATATAATGTTGGCTTGGAAAGTTGGAAGAAACATTGAAAAAGGGCCATCTTTAATTTTTCTTTGCTAACATCCTCCCCTTTTTATTCATAAAAATAATGTAAACATAATTTAATTGTTTCGTTTGATCAGTTGGTCCCTGGTATTTAGTTCTGGTCTCAACACAATGATGAAGCATTTGGGGAAAAAGATACATCCCAATAACCCAGCACTGGAGGACAAGATGGAGAAGATCTCCACAGCCACCATGGCTTTTCCTCTGGTGCTCAGATAGGTTGGAACAAAGGAGATCCACACACTGCAAAAGGCCAACATGCTGAAGGTGATGAACTTGGCTTCATTAAAGCTGTCAGGTAAATTACGGGCAAGGAAAGCCACAATGAAGCTGGCAATGGCCAAGAAGCCCAGATAGCCCAGGACACAATAGAACATGTAGATGGAGCCTTCATTACATTGCAAAATCATGGTTTCCACAAGGAAGTCCATGTTTAACTCAGGATATGGAGGAGATGTTGCCAGCCACATAATGCAAAGACCTGCTTGAAGAAAAGAACAAGAAAGGACAATGGAAAGAGCCAATCTTTTCCCCACCCATTTTCTCATTGAAGAACCTGGCTTAGTAGCCATGAAAGCTACAACCACTGTAATAGTTTTAGCTAACACACAAGAAACAGCAACTGAGAAGATGATGCTGAATGCCGGTTGACGTAGAAGGCAGGTTACTTTCCCTGGCTGACCAAGGAATAACAAGGAAGAGAGAAAGCAGAGCAGAAGGGCGATAAGGAGAGTGTAAGTGAGGTCCCGGTTGTTGGCCTTGACGATGGGGGTATCTCTACGCTTAAGGAAAATTCCAAGCACACTGATTGTCATGAAGGAAAAGAAAACAGCAGCTGAAGCCAGACTGATCCCTAAAGGTTCTTCAAAGGACAGGAAACTTGTTGTTTTGTTAAGGCATCGGTCTTGCTCCATGCTTGGGTACTGATCTCCAGGACATTTGATACAATCTTCTGTGTCTGGATAAAAAAAAAATCAGATGGAAACTCATTGATGTCCTATTTACTACATTTGAATGAATATTTTATGCTATTGCTTGAAGATTGATATTGATTCTGTCATTAGTTCTTTGTGTACCTATATTCACAGAATTTCTGTTTAGTCAAGCAGTTCAGCGGTTTGAATCCCTAGTGTCGCGTAACGGGGTGAGCTCCCGTTACTTGTACCAGCTTCTACCAACCTAGCAGTTCGAAAGAACATAAAAAATGCAAGTAGAAAAATAGGGACCACCTTTGGTGGGAAGGTAACAGCATTACGTGGGCCTTTGGCATTTAGTCATGCCGGCCACATGACCACGGAGACCTCTTGGGACAGCGCTGACTCTTCAGCTCTGAAACGGAGATGAGCACTGCCCCCTAGAGTCGGGAATGACTAGCACATATGTGCGAGGGGAATTTTTACCTTATTAACAGAATAACAGTGTTAGATGGGACCTTAGAAGTCTTCTAATCCAACACTCTGCTCAGGCAGGAGAACCTATACATTTTCAGACAGATAGCTATCTAATATCTTCTTAAAAGCCTCCAGTGTTGGAGCATCCACAACTTCTGGAGGTAAGTGATTCTACTGGTTAATTGTTTTCTTAGGAAATTTGTCCTTAGTTCTAGGTTAAATCTCTCCCTTGATTAGTTTCTATCCATTGTTTTTTATCACTTGACGATTAGTTGGTCAGATTCTTGTAGAGAGCTTAAACTTGCAATACAGCTTTATTCTCATTTGAACTGCCTGAATCTCCTGATTTCCTCGGCACTTGACATAAATAACCATGACAAATTACAACTTGAAATTGAAAAAACAATTTCTTTGCAGCTGAATATTTTCATAATTTGTAGGTCTTCAAAACTGACCTATCTTAGTTGAAATCTTCCCCTTCGGACATGAAACACAATCATAGCAGCAGAAGGTTTTCTCTTCAGATTTTCTCTTCCAATATCCAGGGTGACAGTATTCATTACACAGAGAAACTGGAAGAACCTGGTCATAAAGTGAGGGGGAAAAAAAGATTGCAGAAATAGTTGCTAAGATTTTCTTCAGCTGAAAATAGAGATAGTTAAATTAGGTATAAAGAAAATCATGACCAACAGTTGGAGGCATTTTAACTTTTCCATTTAAGGAAATGGAAGCTGTAAAACTATAAGCATTCAACATATATGTGGGCCCCTACCTGATTAAAACCTCTGTGCCATTCAATCTGATGTTCATTAATGATCAATTCATTTCCATAAGATGCATCGGGATCTAGTCTTCCAACTTTCACACTCTGGATAGACTTGTTTGGAAAAACGATAATGTTGATGAGGTCAAATCCTGCTGCAACTTCCCTCTTCTCATTAAAGGACACTCCCTCTCCTGCTGAGTTGTTGAAAGAAATGCCTTGAAGAAATGGGTGGAGCTACTTGAAAAGAAAGCAATGAAGTTGAAATAACAATAATGAAAGAAATCGACATTAAACAGTTCGCGTTCTATTTCTGATTTTTTTTTTATGCAGTTTCACTGGATAAAATGTGAAATCAAAATAAAAAGTTTGTTTTGTAAAGAATGTCCAGTTTTGCAGGACACAATCTGGGCTGGGTACCAGAATCAGAGGTTTTGCCTTCTGAGCTTTCAGACTTGTTTTTGGAGACCATCCTCAAGGAACTTCTCTCTAGCAGAGTGTGTCACATTCTAGTGAGAGAGAAATTCCCTGAAGATGGGCTCCAGCATGAGTTTGAAAGCTCACAAGACAAAACCTCTGGTCCCAGTGACTGACTCAGATTGGGATCCTGCAACAATATCCTGGGATATGTATATCCACCTTCATTTGTAAATATCCAGTTTTGTTCAACAGAAGAAGAAATCAACCCACAAAATATTGTGAATGAATAACATGTCAGTATATAAGAATTTATGACCTGGAATAGCCATAACAACAAGTCAGCCAATGGGAACTGTTTGGTGACTGAGACTCAGGATTTGTTGTGAGTCATGTCAGACAGCTCGGAGCCTGGGCGTCGCTTAGCTTAACTGTTCTGTGTATATAAGAGTTCATTTGTCCTTACTCCTTGCTTATTGTTCTAATCCTTCCTTCTACTTCTTCTTCTTGTCCTTGTCCTTGCTAATTCTTCTTCTACCACGTTGCAAGAGCTGAATGGGTATTGTGTATATGCATCATGTTTTATACTATTGTATATAAAGAAGCTTCTTCTATAAATGAATCCTGCTGAATTATTTACTTGTGTGGTGACTGGATAGCTACAGACTCTGACATAACATACACAGAATTATGTGATGTAATCTTCCTTGTGGAGAAAGTTAACTGCAATTTCATTGGGGCAGAGAAGATCATCAAGTTTTTTTTTTTAAAATCATATGTCAACGTTGCAAGTAATACCCCCATTGTAGACAGAACTCCAAGGCAGGTTGATTCCTCAAAGAACAGCTTTATTATGAAATATAATCTTGGCACAACCGGTGGAAAGCCAACTCTAAATGTTCCCGCGCTTTCCACCACATTAAAAAGATAAAAGTTTCCCATTTTCCCAAAACAATAAATCACATTGTCCAAGCTGGATACTGGCCTGTTGCCTGGTTACATCTCTCTTCCTCCTCTGGCCAGCCAGCCATTGGAATATCCCTGACTCATTTGAAAGCTATGTTGTTTTGACAACAAACCCACATCTACCTCTACCCCGCTTCAGCTCCAAGTTGTGTCAGCCTGAAGTCATGTGAAAATAAACACCGATAGGAAAGACCACCCCCCCAGGGTTGGGCTGCTGGGGGTTCACAGGGGTTCAAGAGAACCTCTAGCTAAGATTCCGTGCAGTTCAGAGAACCCCCAAATCCCACCCCTGGCTGGCCCCTCGCACCCCACCCTGCCCCTCCCAGGTGTCCCCATGTGGCCCGTTCTGGATTCAGGATGGGGTGCAGGGTACGCGCAGAGGCTCAGGGAGGGTGAAAAGCAGGCTTACCAGAACTTCGGGAAGGCCAAAAACTGGCCCATTTCCAGCATCTGGAGGGCCTCTGGAGCCTGGGGAGGCCATTTTTGCCCTCCTGGAGGCTCAAGGAAAGCCTCCGGATCCCGGGGAGGACAAGAATGCCCTCCTCACCATGGTGCAGGAGGCTGATTAGGCCATGCCCACCATGGCCACACCCACCCAGCAATGGGGCAGAGAACCCCTTGCTAAAAAATTTTAAGCCCACCCTTGGACCCCACCCCCCCAGAAAGGAAAATGGGCCACAGCAAGGTCAGCTTCAGGCTTGACATCATAGCTATTTGAACAACATATTAATTAAGGCTTAGCTCATTTGGTGAGCTAACTTATTCTTAACGAAATTCTTCGCAAAAGGAAAGTAAGTGGGAGAAACGTTACCTTAAAAGGTTGTAGTTCTGGAGATTCAGCCACTTTATCTGCCAAGATTTTTCTCAAACGGGATCTCTTGGATAGCATGCTATGCAAAGAATAAGCCACAGCATAAACCCCATTGTAGATACTGTAGCTGTGCCCTGATATCTGTAATTGAAACAGAGATTCTGGAAGGTTTCCCAGGCCTTCTTCCCCAGTACATTCTTGACTTCCCAAGGATGACGATCCCGAATCAGGAAAGAAACAGTCAAATGCTTGCTCCCAAAAATGGTTTCGAAATCCATCTCTTTGCCCTGAATAGGGTTTTATGGACCGGAGAAATTCCTCGAATTCTAGATTTCGACTTGAATGGATTTGAAAGGCAATGGCCCCATCATAAAATTGGAGGTTCCATTCCCTTTGGGTTCCCGTTAACGTGAAATCAATTTGGCTGGTGGCGATCCACACCTTGCTGAACGATGCATTTCCATGATTTGCAGCCTCCCAGACGGATTTGAGAGCTGTCAGCCAGGCTAAGGTCAAAGATTCTCCATAGATGATGTAGGCGTTTGTTTCAACGTCTGAGAAATGGGTATAAAAATGAAACATGATATCGCCAAATTCACCCAAGTCATCCAAACGCAATAGTTTTGGGAATCTTTGTACAAAAGAAAAACAGATGCCCTGCTGGAAAAACAAGAGCTCCAATTTCTGCAAAAAATGTTCTCCACTCTCTGTGTCGGCAGCAAAGAGTCCAATCCATTTCCATCCAAAACGCTGGAGCAATCGGATGATCCCGATATATTGAGGAACCTCATTTGGGGCCATAAAATAAAGTGAAGATGATACACCGGTATCAATTTCTCCCATTGGAAATGATCCATATGTGAGCTACAAAAAAGCACCCAAGCCATGAAGTTAAGGAGAGTTTTTTGTTTTGCTTCTGCATTTTTATGGATCATTTCAAAAATTGGATAGATTAACAATAGATTAACAGAGGTGGAAGGGACCTTATAGGTCATCTAGTCCAAACCCCACCCCCACACCTAGGCAGGAGACCCTATACCATTTCTGACAAATGGCAGCCCAATCTCTTCTTGAAAGCTTCCAGTGATGAAGCTCCCACAACTTCCAAAGGCAACTTCTGTTCCATTGGTGGATTGTTCTCACTGTCAGAAAGTTCCTCCTTATTTCCTGGTTGAATCTCTCCTTGATCAGTTTCCATCCATTATTCCTTGTCTGGCCTTGAGGTGCTTTGGAAAATAACTTAACCCCCTCCTCTCTGTGGGAGCCCCTCAAATATTGGAAGACTGCTATCACGTCTCCCCTGGTCCTTCTTTCACTAGACCAGCCATGCCCAGTTCCTGTAACTGTTCTTCATATGTTTTAGTCCCCTAATCATCCTGGTTGCTCTCCTCTGCACTCTTTCTAGAGTCTCAACATCTCTTTTATAGTGTGGTGGCCAAAACTGGATGCAGTACTCTAGGTGTGGTCTTACTAGGGCTTTATAGAATGGTATTAGCACTTGATCTTGATTGTATCCTTCTGTTAATTGGCTTTTTTGGCTGCCACTGCACACTGCTGGTGTGAAGTTTCCGAAAGATGCCTAATTAATTCATGAGCCACAAACCAAACTTCAAAAGAAATACAGTCATACAGGAGCACCATTTCGGCAATATTCGGATGCAGTTAGAACTAATCCTACGTAGATTTATGTACCCCTATGACCCTGTCTCTCCCCTCCTCCCTGGCCATGTTATAAATCACATTCTCCAATTAACTACTTCGGCTCTCCTACTGATTGCGGTAGGAAAGAATCTGTGGAATGTAATTTCAGTTAGGGAGATCAATCAGCTCCATCAGTTCTCCTTCCCTCCTGCTCATGGCAACTTGAAAGCTTTGCAACTTGACAGCTGGCTCATATTTAGCTGGTTGTCCACTAAGACTCCAAGATCCCTCTCACAGCTATTAAGCCTGGTTTCACCCACTTTATATGTGTACTTTTGGTTGTTCTTACCTAAGTGTAGGACTTTACTTTTCTCTACATTGAATTTCATTTTGTTACCTGGATGGATGGATGGATGGATGGATGGATGGATGGATGGATGGATGGTTGGATGGATGGATAGATAGATAGATAGATAGATAGATAGATAGATAGATAGATAGATAGATAGATAGATGATAGACAGACAGACAGACAGACAGATCAGAATTTACTCCTTATCCATAACTTCTCAATTTTTTGAAAATGTAGATAAATTTCTGGAGAATCATTGTTTCATTCAACCTAACAGGAAACGTGTTAAAATGCCAGCAGCATTTTGACACAACACAACAGGGGGTTAACCTATTCCCCGAAGCCACCTGAAGACAGGACAAGAAGCAATGGATGGAAACTAATCAAGGAGAGAAGCAACCCAGAACTAAGGAGAAAATTCCTGACAGCAAGAACAATCAACCAGTGGAATGACTTGCCTCCAGAAGTTGTGGATGCTCCATCCCTGGAGGCTTTTAAGAAGAGACTGGACAGCTACTTCTCAGGAATGCCATAGGGCAGTGATGGCTAAGCTTTCTGTTGTTGCGTGCCAAAAGTATGTGCGTAGGCACGCAATAGCATGCCCGTGTGCTGGCACCTATAATGCAATCTGTGCACCCCCCAAATGCCCCACACCCCTGTGCATGCGTGCATGACCCCCCTTGTGCCCCCCCCACCCCCACGCATGTGCACACGAACACCCTGCACTCCGTTTTGGGCCTAGTAGGCCTCACTTCAGCCTCCTGGGTGCAAAAACGGGCCATGGAGGGGTACGCCACACACATCCTACACCCCTTTTGGGCCTAGTAGGCCACCCTGCAGCCTCCTGGAACCAAAAACAGGTTGTGAAGGGGCATGCCACTCCCCCCCCCATGCCCAGTTTTGGGCATAGTAGGCCTCACTTCAGCCTCCTGGGTGCACAAACGGGCCATGGAGGGGTATGCCACACACATCCTACACCCCTTTTGGGCCTAGTAGGCCACCCTGCAGCCTCCTGGAACCAAAAACAGGTTGTGAGAGGGCATTCCGCTCCCCCCCCCCCCGCCCAGTTTTGGGCCTAGTAGGCCTCCCTGCAGCCTCCTAGGATCAAAAACGGGCTGCAGGAGGGCTCGCTGTGCTCCCCCTGTCCCCCACCCATGCATGTGCAATCCCCCCCGCACATGCACAAGTGTTTCCCAGTTGCGCCCCATCCCCATTTATGCACGGCAGAGACCTGAAAATCAGCTGGCCAGTGGGAGGCACGCACACATGCGCAGTGGAGCTGAGCTGGGCGATGGCTCGCATGCCCGCAGAGAGGGCTCTGCGTGCCAGCTGTGGCACCCGTGCGATAGGTTCGCCATCACGGCCATAGAGTCTTCTGCATGTGCAGGGTTGAAGTAGAAAACCTCCAAAGTCCCTTTCCACTCTGTTATTCTGAGTCACTTAAATCTTAGGGGAAATTTCTGAGAACGAACACTAAAGAATGCTCTTGGTTATCCTTAATCCATTGATTAATCTTTTAATCGATTAAGAAGAACAGGGTAAATCCCCTCACCTATAGACCCACCTGTGGAATCTTGTAAAAATCTACCATGTCTGCTATATGGGATGAAGTATCTGATCCAAGTCCTCCAATGACGGCCATGAGATTTTTCCTGGTGCCACATCTGTAGTTGGGGGCGAATGTATGTAATCTGAAGACCATGTCCAAAGTGGTCCGATAAGTCATCTTCGGATTATTGTAGCTGTCATAGATGTGAAAGCCAAAAGTAACATTGGGCAAGATATGTGGGTCCTCATTGATCTCCTTCACAGCGAAGACTAAGGAAAGGACATGCTGGTAAAATTTTGTGATGAGACTGCAAATAAAGAAACTCTTCAGAAAACAATACTTAGAACAATATTGAAAAAAAACCAAAACAGTGGTTTCTGCCTGAGATTAGAATTAGATTTTTACAATATAGTGCCGATATTTCTAATCTATTAAACACTTTTGGCTATAGCAGGGGTCCTCAAACTTTTTAAACAGGGGGCCAAGTCACAGTCCCCCCAGACTGGGGGGGGCAGACCAGCTGGGTGGGCGTGGCTAAGTGGTCATGTGACTGGGTGGGCATGGCCAATTTAGCAGTCCATTAAACAATACACACAAATTAAACTTTAATTTGTTATGCTCCTGCGGGTTGAAAGCAGGTTAATGAAGGGATGTGACTGCCTTGGGGTGTGTGTGAGGGACTTCTGTTTGTGTGTGTATGTGTGTCTTTCTCTCTCTCTCTCTCTCTCTCTCTCTCTCTCTCTCTCTCTCTCTCTTTCTCCATCCATGCTTCCCTCTCTCCCTCCCTCCCTCCCTCCCTCTCTCCTTCTCTCTCTCTGTCTGGAGGCTGGGGAGGCCAAAAATGGGCACATTTTTGGCCTCCTCGGCCTCCATTACCACTCTGCCGTCCAAAAACGGGGCTATATTTCGCCTCCCGAGGCCTCCAGAAGGTGGGTGGGGGCGGCGGCTAGGTGGGGCGATGTGGGCAGGGCAGTCTCATGGTCGCAAGTGGGCCAGATTAATGGCTTTGGCACGCCGTATCTGGCTCACAGGCTGTAGTTTGAGGACCCCTGGGCTACAGTCTATATAATATTTGTAAATGATTACATATTTCATTTACAGAATGTTGCTCCTAGTAACAAACATGAATAATAAAGTTTTAGGATTTTAATGCAATGTTCAATGGCAAGAACTGTCTGTATATATGTTCTAAATGTATTCCACTTTTCTCTTTACCTCTCCTAAACAAATTATCACAGGAAGCAGGTATGGCCAGTCTAGAGAAAGGGACTAGGGGTGACATGATAGCAGTATTCCAGTATTTGAGTGGCTGCCACAAAGAAGAGGCAGTCAACTTATTTTCCAAAGCACCAGAAGGCAAGACAAGAAACAATGGATGGAAACTGATCAAGGAGAGAAACAACCTGGAATTAAGGAGAAACTTCCTCACAGTGGGGACTATTAACCTTTGGAACAGCTTTCCTGTCACTGCGTTATGTGTTTGCCAGCTGAGCTTCCATCCTAAGACTTATGGTAGCCTGGCCGAGAACTTTATCACGTCTCTGTAGTAACAGAGATAAGACTGTCTTGTGATTTTAGAGCTACTGCGCATGTCCAAGTTTAAGGAAGAAACTTCCTGATCTTTTTCCTTTGTCCGGTAACAATGTAGTTAGTAAGTTTGTTTTATTTCTTTATAATAAAATGTTTCTTAGAATATATTTCAGGTTTTCTTTCTTTAAAGTATACAGCATGGAAAAACAAGATCCATCGGTCTCTAATCAAGTGCCCAGGGGGGGAACGGGGCTGATTTACGCTCCGACATTGCCCTCAGAAGTTGTAGTGCTTCATCACTGGAAGTTTTTAAGAGAAGACTGGAAAGCCACTTGTCTGAAATAGCATAGAGTCTCCTGGTTGAGCAAGGGGTTGGACTTGAAGACCTCCATGGTCTTTTCCAGCTCTATCCCCATACAGATGGGATGTTGAACAACTAGACTAGTGATGCGACCGGAACAATCTGGAACTGAACACACTCAAAACCATAGAAATGGTGGTAGATTTTAGGATAAACCCTCCCATACTACCACCTCTTACAATACTAGACAACACAGTTTCAACAGTAGGGACTTTCAAATTTCTAGGTTCTACCATATCTCAAGACCTAAAATGGACACCTAACATCAAAAATGTCATCAAAAAAGCACAACAAAGAATGTTCTTTCTGCGCCAATTCAAGAAGCTCAAACTGCGCAAGGAGCTTCTGATACAGTTCTACAGAGGAATTATTGAATCTGTCATCTGCACCTCTATAACTGTCTGGTTTGGCTCTGCAACCCAACAAGACAGACACAGACTTCAATGGATAATTAGAACTGCAGAAAAAAGCAGTTGATACCAACCTGCCTTCCATTGAGGGCCTGTATACTGCACGAGTCAAAAAGAGGGCTGTGAAAATATTTACTGACCCCTCACATCCTGGACATAAACTGTTTCAACTCCTAACCTCAAACGACGCTATAGAGCACTGCACACCAGAACAACTAGACACAAGAACAGTTTTTTCCCGAACACCATCACTCTGCTAAACAAATATTTCCCTCAACACTGTCAAACAATTCACTAAGGCTGCATTTCTATTAATCTTCTCATCATTCCTATCACCCATCTCCTCCCACTTATGACTGAATGACTGTAACTTTGTTGCTTGTATCCTTATGATTGATATTGATATTGTTTCCTAGTATGATTTGATTGCTTATTTGTATCCTGTGACTATCATTAAGTATTGTACCTTATGATTCTTGACGAATGTATCTTTTCTTTTTATTTTTCACTGAGAGCGTATGCACCAAAGATAAATTCCTTGTGTGTCCAATCACACTTGGCCAATAAAGAATTCTATTCTATTCTATTCTATTCTATTCTATTCTATTCTATTCTATTCTGATTGAAGGTTAACTATTCATTCATCTTTTCCAGCTAATTTTCATGGACCTGCAGAAGAATATTGAAAAACCAGCTGTTCCCTATTGCTTTTGTTACTGTAGCATCAGAGTTAGGATGGTGCCATAAGAGATAGGTGGGGGGATGATACTGTGGGAGAAAAGCTTAGTTAAGACACCTGGCAGTAAAACAAAGGCTAGGAGGAAGGAACAAACCAAAAACAGAAAAGCAGAGGCTGATAAACAAGTTAATTCAGAAGCACTCAACAGGTTGACCTTCCTTGCACAGATAAAAAAGGCAAAATGCTGGAGAATAACCAGGTCCTACAGTAGAAACAGTCCAGACTCAAATCATCCTGACCCCAATGCCCACTCACTGCAGTCCAAATTTCAGAAATTGGCTTAAGAACGAACATGAAACTGCAAAAGAGACCAACAGCTTAGGTTGCAGTGTGGAATTCCCAGAATCTTTGAGAAACTAATTCTGCAGTGAGTGACTTAGTTGAGAATGAAGAATCCTCGTTTCACCTGTATCATTTTTTTCATTACTTCAAACACTTTGTTATAATTTAGAATAGAATAACAGAGTTGGAAGGCAGCTTGGAGGTCTTCTAGTCCAACCCTCTGCTTAGGCAGGAAACCCTACACCACTTCAGACAAATGGTTATCCAACCTCTTCTTAAAAACGTCCAGTGTTGGAGCATTCACAACTTCTGCAGGCAAGTTGTACTACTGATTAATTGTTCTGACTGTCAAGACATTTAATTGTATTCGTTTTATGTATTCAACTCATGCTTATACTTATATATATATTATCTAATATATACTCGACAAAATAAATAAATAAATAAAATAAAATAATAAAATAATAAAATAATAATACAATACAATACAATACAATACAATACAATACAATACAATACAATAAAAATAAATTTCTCCTTAGTTCTAAGTTGCTTCTCTCCTTGATTAGTTTCCACCCATTGCTTCTTCTCCTGCCCTCAGTTGCTTTGGAGAAGAGCTTGACTCCCTCTTTTTTGTGGCAGCCCCTGAGATATTGGAACTCTGCTATCATGTCTCCCCTAGTCCTTCTTTTCATTAAACTAGACATACCCAGTTCCTGCAACCGTTCTTCATATGTTTTAGCCTCCAGTCCCCTAATCATCTTTGTTGCTCTTGTCTGCACTCTTTCTAGAGTCTCCACACCTTTTTTACGTCATGGTGACCGAAACTGAACGCAGTATTCCAAGTGTGGCCTTGCCAAGACATTATAAAGTGGTATTAACCCTTCACAGGATCTTGATTCTATCCCTCTGTTTATGCAGCCTAGAACTATTTGAGATAGAATATTTCAAATTTCAGATAGATATTCCTTGAGCACCCTGCTTTATGCAGCTTTCCTTTCTAAATTTCTTCACCTGTAATCATTTCAGTGATAAAGAGCTTAACTGGACTCCAGAGGATGGTAGAGGACAGGAAGGCCTGTAGGAACATTGTTCATGGGATCGTCATGGGTCGGACATGACTTCGCAACTAACAACAAAATCTTTTAATAATTTTTTCATTTGATTAAATCCCTGTGTCTTAGAGATTTGTGATCCAGCAATTCTTATTCACCCTCTCATGTCATTTTCCTAAAAAAACAGCATGAAGTATCTTAATGAGAGCACAAAAGTCTTATTTAGCCTACAGCCCAAAACTCTATGAAAACTCAAACAGTTATTTGACCAGATCCAGTTTTCATTTGCTTTCTTTGAACAACTTTTAACTCAAAAGAATAGCTGCCAACATATAGAAAAGCTGAGAAGAAACAAGGAATGAACATTGTCCATGGGGTCGTCATGGGTCGGACATGACTTCGCATCTAACAACAAAATCTTTTAATGATTTTTTCATTTGATTAAATCCCTGTGTCTTAGAGATTTGTGATCCAGAATGAACAGTGAGTGAATGAAACAAGGAACAGTGTTCCAATAACTCAGGGGCTGCCACAAAGAAGAGGGAGTCAAGCTATTCTCCAAAGCACCCGAGGGTAGGACAAGAAGCAATGGGTGGAAACTAATCAAGGAGAGAAGCAACTTATTTTATTTTATTTTATTTTATTTTATTTTATTTTATTTTATTTTATTTTATTTATTTTATTTTATTTTATTTTATTTTATTTTATTTTATTTTATTTTATTTTATTTTATTTTATTTTATTTTATTTTATTTTATTTTTTTATTTTATTTTATTTTATTTATTTATTTTGTCGAGTACATATTAGATAATATATATAAGTATAAGTATGAATTGAATACATAAAATGAATACAATTAAAGGGAACATTAGGACAGGGACTATAGGCACGCTGGTGCTCTTATGCATGCTCCTTACAGACCTCTTAGGAATGGGGTGAGGTCAACAGTAGCCAGTCTAAGGTTAAAATTTTGGAGGTTTGGGGATGAAACCACAGAGTCAGGTAGTGCATTCCAGGCATTGACCTAAGACTTTAGAACTAAAGGAGAAATTTCCTGACAATTAGAACAATTAATCAGTGGAACAACTTACCTCCAGAAGTTGTGAATGCTCCAACACTGGAAGTTTTTAAGAAGATGTTGGATAACATCTGAAATGGTGTAGGGTATGCTGACTAAGCAAGGGTTTGGACTAGAAGACCTCCAAGGTCCCTTCCAACTCTGTTATTCTATTCTATTCTATTCTATTCTATTCTATTCTATTCTATTCTATTCTATGATTAGGTGAAGAAAACGTAGGATTTGCTTACTCTGAAAGTCCATATAGCTCCTGAGATGGGTGTTTATCAAAGTTATGTTCACTGAAGGCATAGAGATGCTGTGAGGCTATCCCACCAACGAGAAGATCACCTGGTTGGTACCACTCATGTGGAATAGGAATAGGATCAGCTTCTGGGCACTTGAGGGCATTCACTTTGATCACTGGGAACATCAGAATGAATAACACATCAGCAGCCAAAACATCTTCTAAAAGAGGTCTCCAACATATGAAACCACACCAGTGGATCTGACTTAGCATACTAGATTTTTCTGAACACATCTCCTAAGAAGAAAGCATCAGTCTAAACCTTTAACTGCAGATACAGACATGTGTTTGAATAATGACTGAGGTTTCTACAACTCAAATCTCAAATTGGTCTGATCAAAGAAAGATCGGATGCTGGAGGAAACTGAACCCAATAATCCGGTTGGAGTCTTCCCACTATCCCAAGCTCTCCATGGATCTGGGGTTAGTTTATAACCTCTATCAACCTTGCTTTCTATTTTTCACTGCTTTCTAGAAAAATCTCTGGAGCTTTGAGGAAGTGACAGTAATTGGAACCAATTCCAGGAAGAGTTACCTGTTAAAAGTTTTTTCCCATAAATGAAAAAAACAAAAACAAAACCCTTATAATTGTTAGTTGTCAATGTGAGAAAGTATTATGATAGCTAATATCCCAAAGGTTAACTAACACCATTCTCTCCAAATGATGAATACTCTATATACACTTGTATCTTCAATATCTAATATATTACTAATACATAGAACATACAGTAGTGGCCAAAATTGTGGAAACTTTTTGGGGAAAGTGTATTTTCTAAAACTAGATAATAACACCATTTTTTTTTTTTTTGGAGTAGTACCATAAAATTATATATCAATGGAAAGATAATTTAGTCAAGAATGCAATGCAATAACTTTTATGACGGATTTGTTATTAGAATAGCAGTTACAGTATAAAGAAGAAAAGGGAAACACGTAGAAAAAACAAGGTAAATGTCACCATAGAAAAAATGAGATATACAAAAATGATCACCATAGAAAAAACAAGATATATAAATATTATCACTATGCCAGTTAATACTTAGTTGGGTAAATTTAGCATGAATTACGGCCTTACAATGTCTTCCCATGGAGTGAACCAAGTCTTTTAGTTCTGCAGCTGTTATAATGTGAAACCAAGATTGAATGATTGCTTCTGTTAACTGGGTTTTATTGCTGGATCGCTTCTGACTAACAAGTTTCTTTAGTCGGCTCTATAGATTTTCAATTGGGTGAAGGTCTGGGCTATTCCCAGGCCATTCCAGCAGTAGAATAGGATTATCTTGAAACTCCAAAAGAAAAAGTGGTGTTATTAGCCATCAAACCTCAAAAATACACTTTTCCCAAAAGGTTTCCACAATTTTGGCCTCTACTGTATAAAAGTAATTCTAAAAATCTAGTGATTTTTATGATATTGTAATACACACATGGACACAGACAGAATGAAATATGAAATATTGATTTTTTATCTATCCTAATTCAGAGAACAAAATAGGGGTACAGGGGCTTGTAGAAAATTATAAAAGGTTACGTATAGTATATTGTGCATGTCATGCCATCTGTCCCTTTCCATCTTTTAATGCTTTTTCCTAAAAATATACTTTATTCAGTTTGGATGCCATCAAACTCTAATTCACTTTGAGTGACTCACAAAAAAGAACTCCCATTGACTCTGAGTAAATCACAATAATAAAATAATGTTTTAAAAAACACCACAATGTATAAGATTAAACCACAGAGCAAGCATAAGACACGAGAGAAGTCCCTTTCAAATAATACCAGCTTTGGAAGAATAATAAACCTTTTAAACAATAACAAAAAAGATTTATTTAGATTTTTAGGGCAGGTCGAGAAACCAAGAGCCAAACTTAAAATTCTGCAAGATGCAAAAGACATTGGAAGACTGGGATTAGCTGACTTTTGCTGATTATGTTGCCCTCATTGTAAGCAAACACACGTTTTAATAAGAAAACAGAACTAAAATATCTCAACTGTTGTCAAAACTGAGTGGTTCTGGAGTTTAAGGACTATTGGTTCAAAGCAGTGGTGGGATTCATCCAGTTTGGGCCGGTTTGGGCAAACCGGTACTTAAATTGCTGGCTGGCCCCACCCCTTACTGCCCCACCCGTTCCAGGAGTCCCCACACGCCCCATTTTGGCTCCCAGGTAAGTGCAGGGAGGCCTAGGAGGCCCAAAATGGAGTGCAGGGTGGGCCGCGCACCCTCCCCATGGCCCATTTTCACTCCAAGGAGGCTTCAGGGAGGCCTCCTAGGCTCAAAATGGAGCACAGGGGGTGGCACCCCCCCCACAGCCCATTCTTGCTCCCAGGAGGCTTTAGGGAGGCCTCTAGGCCCAAAATCCTAGGCCCAAAATGGGGTGCACAGGAAGCTTCAGGGAAGCCTCCTAGGCTCAAAATGGGGCATCCAGGAGGCTTCAGGGAGGCCTCCTAGGCCCAAAATGGGGCATGGGAGGGCTTGTTCCCCCCATACATTTTTGCTCCCAGGGGGTTGCAGGAGCCCGAGTGCTGCCTGTCACACCCCCTGGCCATGACCACCAAGCCATGCCCACAGAACCGGTAGCAAAAAATTTTGAATCCCACCACTGGTTCAAGGACTATAACATTTTGGTGTTAGATTGGGTGGCACTGCCTCAGAAAGACCAGGTGTGCAATCTGAGGGATCTTCCTGGATTTACAAGTCCTGCTCAGAGAACAGGTGGCAGCCATGGCTAGGAGGGTCTTTGTACAGCTTTGTCTTGGGTGCCAGTTACATCCTTTCTTAAAGTATAGACCAGTGTTGGTGAACCTTTTCGGCACTGAGTGCTGAAATGGGAGCGCATGTGAATGCACGCATCCCTGTGTGCCCGAAACCAGAAGAGCAGCTGCCCGGCGCACCTGGTCTTATGGTTTCTGGTGGGCATGCGCGTGCAAAGACCAGCTGGCTGGTGCACATACATGCACTGGAAACCAGAAGAGTGTCAATGAAGCACTCACTCCAGCCTGCCACTGAGAACAAGCCAGTGCAGCCCTTCCAGGGGTGGGTTTTACTTACCTTTACTACCAGTTCACAGCGGGGCATGTGCAGAAGTGTTTTGATGATGTTGGGGTTGGTGGGCAGAGCCTCCTGCCAGTTTTACTACCAGTTCTATAGAACTGGTGTGAACCGGGGGCAACCCACCACTGAACTCTTCCCCCTCCGACTACTTCTGCCAAGAGAGTGTGACCACTTCCCGGCCAGTGCGACTCTTACCCAGGTGCCGGACAGATGTACATCCTGCACAGACTCAGCTCCTGTGCAGCCCTGCTGCCCCAGAAGAGCAGTTACAGCAGTGGCAGCTGCAGGGCAAGGGGCAGGAGCGACTGGCCCTTACTGGTGAGCTGGGCCCTCAGCGGTGTCTCCATGCATGAGGATCTGCGCTCTGCTTTGGCCCTCCTAGGTCAGCTCGCCTCCCCGATGGCAACTCCTCCTCCTCCTGGCTGCTCCAGCATCCTGGCCAGAAGCGGCAGTGCGATAACCGCCCCCATCCCTTCACCACTGCCCCTGGCGGCAGCAGCAGGAGATGGGGTGGGCAGCTGTCCCACCAGCAAATGCTGCCTGGCTGCCCTGTGCACCTGAACTGGCTAGTGCTTGTGACTACAGACACACATCAGTGCCATGGGGTGGAGGGCTGGGGCCACGCAAGAAGCCTGCTCGGATGGGGAGGGAAGGAAGCCCCAGCCCGTCTGTCCTGGCCAACAGCTCTGCTCCCCTAGGAAGTGACCGCTTTGATCCCCTCTCCACATCTTTGGCCCATAAGCCACTGCCCATTGCTCTTCCAGCTTCCGGCATGCCAGCCAGCTGGTCTTCACGTGGACGGGAGTGCTAGAAACTGGAAGAGCAGCCGCCCGGTGCACATGCATATTTTCGGTTACTAAATGATGCAAAGTTTAAATCCTGGCTTTTACTCAGATTTTCTATTATTTGGTGAGGTTTTTTCCCCTCCTTTCTTTCTTACTTTTCCAAAGTAGAAAATCATCCAAGTTTTAATAGTCAGAGAATGGCTTTGAAATACCCCTCTGAATTTTTCCAGTTATCATAGAAATAGCAATAGCACTTAGACTTATATACCACTTTACAATGCTTTACAGCCCACTCTAAGCGGTTTACAGAGTCAGCATCTGTGGTGGCATTCAGCTGGTTCAGACCGGTTTGTGCAAACCGGTAGTGGAAATGATGGATGGGCCTGCCCACTCACCCCGGTGCTATGCCGTCCTATTTAGCCACATTTTCTAAGCCGGGCACATGCATGCAAGCTGTGCATGTGAGCAAAGTGCACGTGTGGAAGGTGCGCGCGCGGGGCGAACCGGTGGTAAAAATATGTGAAACCTACCTCTGGTCAGCATATTGCCCCCAACAATTTGGGTCCTCATTTTACCCACCTCAGAAGGATGGAAGGCTGATCCACCTTGAGCCTGGTGAGATTTGAACTACCAAATTGCAGGCAGCCGGCAGAAGTAGCCTGCAGTACTGCATTCTAACCACTGTGCCACCATGGCTTATCATGCCACAAAGAGAAAAGAAATTAGGACATATTAAATTCAATATCCTTAAATATATATATATATGTCCAACAGTGGAAGAAAAAAATGCTGAAGGCATAATTTTGTTCCCCGCTAGAATTATTCTAAAGATAATAATTTGTTCTCTTCGTAAAATCTGTAAACACTAGAATGGAATGGAATGGAATGGAATGGAATAGAATAGAATAGAATAGAATAGAATAGAATAGAATAGAATAGAATAGAATAGAATAGAATAGAATAGAATAGAATAGAATAGAATAGAATAGAAAACATGGAATGGAATGGAATGGAATGGAATAGAATAGAATAGAATAGAATAGAATAGAATAGAATAGAATAGAATAGAATAGAATAGAATAGAATAGAATAGAATAGAATTCTTTATTGGCCAAGTGTGATTGGACACACAAGGAATTTGCCTTGGTGCTTATGCTCTCAGTGTACGTAAAAAGACAAAATACATTCGTCAAGAATCATAAGGTACAACACTTAATGATAGTCACAGGGAACAAATAAGCAATCAAATCATATTAGGAAACAGTCAATATAAATCGTAAGGATACCAGCAACAAGGTTACAGTCATACAGTCATAAGTGGGAGGAGATGGGTGATAGGAACGATGAGAAAATTAACAGTAATGCAGACTTAATAACTAGTTTGACAGTGTTGAGGGAAT